AATATCATTTTCCGCTGATGCGCTTTCGCGTCGATATGGCAAAAGGAGGAATATCACGTGACGTCCTTTCAGCCAATGAATATATGAAAATAATCTTATATAAATGAATATTTTAAGATACTGAAGTTCAACTGTAATTGTGATTTATAAAGGTCTTGCATTTGTTATATTGAACCATGCTTTTCCCCACTTTAAAGCATGGTATCCATTAATTAACTATATATTATACAGCTTAGTAAAAGTTGGTCAAACTTCAAGGTTTTGAGGTCAGATTTGGTCAAACCAAAAGAAAGATCGTGTCACAAGGAATATACCTGTGAAATATGAAAGCCATAGCCCTACTCACTCAAAAGTTATGAACAAGATTAAAGTTTTTGCAGACAGATCGACAGATCATTAAAACAGACAATCAGACAGACAGACAGGACAAAGACTATATACCCATGAATATTTAATCACAGGGGCATAAAAAGTATCAGAAATATAGATGTAACGGTATCAAAGGTTTCAGTTAACTGCTCCCTTTTCGCTCTTCTTGCTTATTGGACAACCTTTTAAAAGGCGATTGGATGACGGGTGGAAGTTAATCAAAAAGGCATAGAAACACAAAATACAATGTCATAAGTTTATAGTTAATACATTGTACATGTATAAATCTATGACTCAAAGTTTGTACAATTTATTAAAAAAAGAAACTTTACAATACAGTCCCTGAACTATAAACTGTTATTATTTATGTCCCAGCTAAAGTTACAGGTTAACATCAACGATTAAATGTATTTCTTTTTTGGTAGGAGTATGTATATTGTCTATATATTATAAGAGACGGTAGGGAGTTGAAAAGGTATAATTTTAGATTTCTTGGAATTGGACTATAAATGGACAATATGGAGAAGTCAGTTACTAAGCTCCTATTGCAGTTTGATTGCATGGCGGTTTGTCAAGTATCCTGCTTAATAGCTAGTTACCCGTTGTCACATAAATGTTTATTCTCAACTAATCAGCATGCAAGAAGACGACCAATAAATACAAATGATAGAAAGGAACAAAGGATAGCCAAGAATCTTTTATGATGCAAAAAGACCCAATAGAGATGTGTACTTTAATTATGTAGTAGTTTATTTTAAAAAAATTAAACAGAGGAATGCAGATAATATAAGATTAAAGAAATAATACCGTATAGCGGGTTTTCTTGGCGGGTGTAAAAGTTGGCGTTTTGCCTGCTGAAAGGTATGCCAATAATTTTGGCGCAATTTATTTTAGCGGACACAGGGTTTCATTTCTTTGCAGTTGAACACTTAGAAGACTAAGTTAAGTGTTAACTGACTATTTTAGCGATTACAATTTTAGCGGATCATCATCAAAACGCCAAAATAAGCCAAAATTAGCACCCCGCTAAAATAACCCGCTATACGGTACTCTAAGTGAGCAACAAAAAAGGATCACCATAAACAGAAGATTTTTACAAAGCTTGGGTCTTTAGCTCCTTGGTTTGTCTGTCTAAATTTTCTCAATTTAGTTAGCTATACAGTTCTGCAGCTACTTTTTTCCCCCGCTTGAAAAGTAGGGGATATTAATTTGGGTCTGTCCGTCCGTCCGTCTGTCTTTCTGTCTGTCTGTAACGCTTTCGTTTTCACACGATATCTCGAGAACCCTTTGAGCTTTCGCAATGAAATTTTGCATAGCAACTCCCTATGGACGAAAGGAAGAACCCTATTGATTTTGAGGTCAAAAGGTTAAAGGTCAAGGTCATAAATTCGCAAATTCTGTCTGTTATAACACTTTTGTTTCTGCGCGATATTTCAAGAACCCTTTGAGCTTTTGCAATGAAAATTTACATAACAACTTCTTGTGGCCTAATGAAGACCCCTATTGATTTTGAGGTCAAAAGGTCAAAGTTCAAGGTCGTAAATTTATACATTCTGTCTGTGTGTAACACTATCGTTTCCAGGTGATATTTCAAGAAGATTTTTGAACTTTTACAATGTAATTTTATACCAAAACTCCCTAGGACCTCTCTCACTTCTCTCAAAGTGTCCCGCTCTGTTTGTTTTATTAGTATCTATTGTATTACATGTCACTATTTTTAGCAGAGGGGCATGAGGAGAGTTATTACGTATAAAACAGGTTCTCTGCGGACTTTATATTCTTATTACATCTATTAGAACTGTTTAATAAAGGCTAGACACCAATTAGACACCATGGATTGTGTAAAATTTTGACAATATCGAACGTGAATATATGTATACATTTATGTGACTTCATGTTTGTATAAATTTTCACCTTCTCAGGCGGTTCCGTGGTCAAGTGGTATGTTTCTCGCTTCCCATGTGAGAGGTCCCAGGTTCGAATCCCGGATGATCCATTTTCTTTTTTTTCCGAAATACTTTTTTTTACTATGATAGTATTCAGCATGTGAAATGAAAAATTTATGAGGTCTGGCTTGTACAAACTAATAAAATCATCATTGCAGTGTACGTGATAAATATTTCATATATTAAAAAAGAATCTTCTATACACATAATAAAGAATAAGCAATCAAATCTTTATATCCATATTGGCATATTTTATTTGCTTCAGTATACTGGTTTACTTTTTCCCTAAGCAGGGGACACAAATTCTCTGAATTAGCTTGTTTTATTGCAGCATCTTTTAAACTGTTGGGCATTTGAATGTGTACAATTCAATCTATCTGTATATAGATAAATTGTGTTGGTTCACTGGCAGAATTATACGGGGGATGGGGGGCCAGCCAACCCCCCCCCCCCCCCCCAATTTTATATCCAAAATGTACATAAGATGTAATAAATCTCTAAATCAACTTTTTTTTTGTGTGGCTGTGGGCCTCTGTATATACCCCAACTTCAAACTGATCGTGCCCACCCTTTTCAAGATTCCTGGATTCACAGAATTTTCTAACAAGTATTTTTTACTTCATCATATATGTGAGGCTGTATGCCCAGTGGTTTAATTTTATAAGTTACGTTGTGCTTATCTTTCATGGAACGAATGAATTTAATATTTTAAATTGAATTTCAAATTTTACCTGTCATGATAACGTACCTTCTGAGATAAGTTAATAAGTGAATAGAGAGGTATTTAAAAACTCAGATTCTTCAGGCTATGATCTAAGTACCCGGTAGATGTATTACGATCACAATATATTCCTGTAAGTTATCAACTTCCAAACCATTAAATGGGATCCACTGAAAATTTTCTTTAAGGATTTTTTGGAAATTTTCATCAACTGTAACACTTGGAAATTTTCATTTTGGGGATTTTCAGAATTGTATATTCCTCTTTGGTATTTTTCGTACTATAAATAGATATTGATGCTGTCAACATTACATTAAGTTGATGCAACTGTAATAATGTTGAACTGCTTTTTATTATTGCAAAGTTTTAAGTGTTAAATTTTAATGAATTAAAATAATTAAAAAGTTTGTTTAAATTCCTGCTGAGTTCATGATGTACTCTGCTGCAATATATTAAATTGGTTCATAAAATATTGTGTAGACTTGAGGTATTGTTATGTTTGTTAATCTTGCAAGAATTGTTCATCTCGAAAAGATCTCTTTTTTTAAAGATCTATAAATGCATACCTGACATGTTACCTGAGATAGTGACTACATGTATCATTTTATTATAAAGTGCATACACATCTACTATTTTAACTATTTTAAATTGGATTTACAAGAATCTCAGCATGTTCATATACATGTACCTCTGTATTACATATTAATATAACATGAAGTTAGCATGAAAATTAGTTGATTATTGTAATCAATTAATTAATTCAACAGTTGCTTTACTATAGATTTAGGAATTTTTTATCCTGACATAAATAGATATTTGAAAAGTTTTTGTCAATGAAATTTAATTCATTTGTCGAAAATTAAGATATCAGATCCTTGAAAAGGTAATTAAACAAATGATTCTTGTCTTGATTGCAGAGAAGTATGAATGACAATTGTGGTTTACCACAAACTGAAGTCTGTGTTTGGAAGCTATACTCGTATGTAATTAGAATCAGGAGCTAGGGCATTTAGTGAACAAAAAATGAAGAAGTAAAAAAGGGGGAACTTTGAAAATAGTCAAAGAATTAGAAATATGTGGATTACAGTTCACCCCTTGTATAATTTATTCATGCATGTGCATAAGGTTCTATCATATTGTAAGAAAAAGAAGATGGGTTAACATTTAGTTGAATTGGAGCATATGTCTCTCTATTAATTAGCAATATACATGCATGTTTAAAATTACTGTGACATTTGATCCTCAGGTTGATTTAGATGTATGTACTGTATGTTATTCCAAGTAGTTTTAGAATATGTTGTCTTAATTGATAAACATGCAGAATTGTTGATATATTTTTGTTGTTCAGCTCTAAAATTAGAATTTAAAAAATTCCAGTTAAAAATAGAATTGAAAATACCTCATACATTATACATATAGAGTATATAAGCTGAAAATAACCAGCTATAATGTCTTGATGTTCTTGTCAACATCTTTGATTTTTTACTTCATTTTTTTCCTTTTTTTTTTAAGAACAAAACTTAAAAATTTTAATCTTAGCCTCAGCTGTTGACCTAGCTTGAAATTCCTTGTCTTTTGGAGCAGACACAATCTAGTGCATGTAACTTCAAGTTAACTTAGACAAAACTTTCATGGATGACTAGGGATGAACACTCAGTCTCTCAAAGTTGCTTCAGATGCTGAATTTGAGATGTTTTCTGGATTGGTAACTACAACATATAGTTTAATGTTTTTAGAGTAAGTCCACTCCCAGTGACCGCAAGCCATTTTTGGACCAAAATTGCATAAATGTTGCATCTAGGGATGCAGACCACTTAAGATTACTACATGTACTGAGTACTAGATTATTAATTTTGCGGGGATTTGCCTTAATTGAAAATATTTGCTGCAAGACTTGGAAAAGCAGAATCAATTAATTTGTTGTACAGTAAACAGTTTATATAAAGCTTATAATTTATTTGTAGGAATCCTGATGGTCTCATGCAGTTAATCACCTGACATCATAGAGAGGTTACCACGAGTTCAGAATGGCGGAGGACCAGAAGGACCCGGTAAGTATAGGATCTAATTAGTAATAACATAATGTAATTAATATAGATAAAGTTATGTGAATATTTGAGGCCTTTTAGGACCAAAAAATATGATTGTATGAGGCATTATGGTGTTGACCTACACAAGTACACTCTTTTTGTGGGGACAGCTAAATATTTTGTGATTTATATGGTTAAGTACTCTGAAATCACATATTTTCAAGGGGTCAAATAAATTTTTGGAAAAAATATTGGTTTGTGGGGTTTTGATTTCGTGGTTGGAGTATGTTTAGTAATAACGCATATGAAATTTTACATTTCGTGGTGGTGATGAATTCATGGGTCTCTCCATGCCTTAAAAACAACGAAAATTAACCCCCACGAACATTAGTGATTTCACAGTATATGGTAAATCATTCTCAGTCTCTGTTGTTCTTTGAACAATTATTTTTTGGAAATTAAAATTGGTAAGAAATGAAATGGCTAGTCTGCTGCCATGTATATTGGCTATAGAGATGAAGTTAAGTTTTGTGGGATTTATACATATACGATATTTTGACTATAAATTCATTGGGGGGGGGGGGGGGGGGGGACTCCGTCTGTGAATGCTAGTATGTCCATTGTATTTCTACTCAAATTCTGTATATTATATTTTCTGCAGTTTGCCTTTTGAAAGGAACATGTATTTAAATGAAAATAATAGATCTGTGAAATTATTAATTCTATTTAATTGATAAAATGATAAAATAATATTATCATTATTGATCATGTAAAATATTTCGATAAATGGCTATTATTAACATTTGTGTACATATAGTCAAGATATATTGTTTATTTTTAGGAGGGTCCTTTAAGTGATTTATATGGTAAGTAATGAATGAATTCACACTTAAATTGGACTTTTTCATTCCCTGTAAATTTATATTAATTCATGTCTCCTTCTTCTAGATTCAACAACATTAGAGGAAATTATTAAAGATATTCAGAAAGGATCAAATGACCAGGGGCCTGGAATGGATATTGAAGATATTAACGGCCCAACGATTCAAAATCCTGGTAATTTTACAACATTAAATTTGTCTTGTAACATTATGGAAAGTTTGTGACTATATAATATATAATTGATCTTCTCCAAAATCGCCAGGTCAGTTTCAGCTTAACTTGGTACAAAGCATCCCTGGATGAGGTGGAGTTTAAATTGCTAATATGAAGGGCCAAGCCCCCTTACAAGGGGAAACAATTAAGAAAAGACAAAAATAGTGTGTGGTCATTAAAAATCTTTTCCCCAGAACCATTGGGCCTAAAAAGCTAAAACTGTTGTGGTAGCTTTCTGAGGTAGTGTAATATTCTGAATAATTCAAATCATGACCCTTGAGGGTAAGATGGGGCAACAAAAGAGAATCTTTAAAATTCTTCTTGAGAACCACAGGGCCAGAAAAGCTGAAACCAATGTTGAAACTTCCTGGGCTGCCTTAGATTCTAAATTTTTCAAATCATTGCCCCTGGGATAGGATGTGACCACAATAAAAAGTTTTACATCGAAATATATAGGAAAAATCTTTTTTTCTCTTCTTTGCAAGAACCACTGGGCCAGAAAATCTGAAACTTTTGTGGAAGACTTCAGAGGTAGTGTACATTCAGAATTTTTCAAATCTTGACCCCCTGGGGAAGGGTGGGGTCACAATAGGGAATCAAAATTTTATATTGATATATGTGGGAAAATTCTCCCTCCCAAGAACCACGGGGCCAGAAAAATTGAAACTTATTTTGAAGCTTCCTGGCAAGTGTATATTCTACATTGTTTACAGTGTATATGAAACCATATCAACAAGATATGCCACTGTATGCTGATATTTTGAACCAGTTTTACAACCCTTACTAAAATTGGAGAAAATAAAATTTTTATACCCCACTCAACAAGTTGCATGAGGTATAATGTTTTTATACCTCACGCAACAAGTTGTGTGAGGTATAATGTTTTTGACCCGTCCATCAGTCAGTCAGTCAGTCAGTCATTCCGTCAGTCCTATTTTTTGTCAGCGCAGCTCCTCATAAACCACTGCACAAAATTTGGTCATACTTTGTAGATATTTAGGACACAATGTGTAGATGTGCATATCACCAGAAAATTCCAATTCCTTTATTTTTTCCAAGAATTTCCACACTTCTCAACATAGATTTTTGGCCATGTCTTGAATATAGAGATGAACAGTTTGTCAGCGTAACTCCTCATAAACTGCTGCACAGAATTTGCTCAAACTTTGCAGATATTTAGGATACAATGTGTAGATGCGCATATTTTCAGGAAATTTTCTTTTTTTCAACTTAGAATTTTTGCTATACCTTGAATATAGAGAAGAGCAGATTGTCAGCTGACTCCTCTTAAACCGCTGCACAGAATTTGCTCAAACTCTGTAGATATTTAGTATACAATGTGTATATGTGCATATTTCCAGGAAATTCCAATTCCATTATTTCTCTGGGAATTTCCACACTTTTCAACTTAGATTTTTGGCCATACCTTGAATATAGAAATGAACAGATTGTCAGCGCAACTTCTCATAAACCGCTGCACAGAATTTTGTCAAACTTTGGAGATATTTAGGACACAATGTGTAGAAGTGCATATTACCAGGAAATTGGAATTCCTTTATTTTTCCCGGCAATTTCAGTACTTCAAGTTTTTGGGGAGTGTGGGGTATGTGAGCTTGCTCACTTTTTCTTTCATTTGTGGAAAGTTATAAAAGTATTTTTAATATTTTGCTCTTTACTGACTCACAGTGAATGAAATTTAATTAATGGATTACAAGTAACTATACATTAATGAACTGTTTTAAACCATGAGATCAAACCAGTAGAGCTATAGTCTCATCTATAGGAGATTTTTGTTATTGGTTCCTGTACAGGTCCAATACCAGATGGTAATCCATACAATGGAGGACTGAACAATGGCCTCACACAAAGACAGTCAACAATGAAAGTCAACGTAGCCAACCGCATGACAAGGTTCAGATACGACACCGAGCTTAATAATCGCAACATTGGCAAAGAAGAACTCATGTCAGTCAAGGTAAAATCTGCTCACAGCAATTCAGTTTGATGTGATTAATATTATTTTACTGATAATTTATAGATAAAAATATTATTGATATCATTTTAACATTTTTTGGCATCTTCTTTTTGAACTTCTGACCAGTGCAATGTCAATCAGTTTTGGAATTTTAATATCTTTACTTCAAGAAGAACAAAATTTTGAATTTCATGGTTTCAAACCTTCTGGATCCTAATGGGTGTTAGCTAGAGTGGGGTGTATATTATATAGTGGAAAAAGTGTTAATTTTCAAAAAGTTTTTTCTCTGCTTTTGGTTATTTAGAATATAAACCAAGTTCTTAGTAATGAGGAGTAATAGTTCTTTTTCCATAATTACAAAATGACAAACATTTATGAAACAGATGCTTATAAATATGTGTTTTTAAGTAAATGCTTCACATTTCCCTTTTAGTTCATCAATATAGATACAGAGATTTTTGTGAGAATCCACTGCGTTGACCATGTAAACAAAAAGGCACATCCCTTCTGTTTGATTGGAGACAGGTGTAAACATGGACTGTATTGTGAAAAATTCACTCCCACTGCTGAAAATAAGAGTACATTGTAAGTAGAAATCCTGTTGTCAGATAGTAAATGGTTTGGTGATCATTGTTTTTATTAGCTCTACTGCTCAGAGACCAAGCCCCAGGATCATAAAACAGACTTAAACTTAAGTCAAAGTATGCATGCTGTACTAGAATTTTGATTAAGTCAAGTAGACAAAAAGTAAAATATTTTTTAACATTGCTTTACAAAAGTGTTGTCATCTGCAAAATTAGAAGATTCAATCAATAATTGATAATCATTGTACAGAATAAGAATAGAATTCTTGAATGAGTTCTTCATGCATTAGCTGGTTACCTATCGGCTAATACATGCATTTACTTTAGTTTTATATGTAGAGATTTGCTTGGTAAGAATAAAAAAAATTAATCAGAAAAATATGTTATTTATATGTATTAAACTGTCAATTCATGTTGCTATATATAAAGCTGAAATTAATTTTCACTCAACTTAACACTTTGTTGAATATTTCATCAAAGATCCTGTAAAGCAACCATAAAAATTCCCAAAAGAGGAGAATATGAAGAGGAACTCAAAAAACGAAAAGAGGCCATGGAAAAACACCTGGGCTTATTTAGTGATGAAATGAAGAAAGGTATGTTCAGTATTGTTTTGTACAAAGGACTCTAAAGTTGGTACATGTACTATTATTACCGGGGTACATTTAATTGACTGGGATGAAGGGCAATATGTACATGTTTTGTTGGACCCAAGAACCAAACTGCCAAAAGCCTAAGGCAAACAGTTTGGTGCGAGGGTTTGACAACTCTCATTTTAAGTACATAGAAATAAATGTTTTGTTAAACCTTTTGATTTTAACTTTTGACTTATCTTGAGCAGGCTTTCACATTTGCAATACATGTAATTGATAGAATATAACTACTCCTGCCTACAGCATGATGTAAAAATCCTCATATCAGTCCAATATTTCTTTGACAGGTCCAATATCTCACTCAACAGTCCTACATTGATTTCTTAACAACTCAGAAAAACATGGACATGTTTTATTTTTTTTGGTCACCTGAGTAATTCAGGTGACCTATTGCTATCCGTTTTCGTCCGTCGTCGTCCGTCGTGCGTCGTGTGTCGTGTGTTAACATTTGAACATTTTCAGCTTCTTCTCTGAAACCACTGAACCAATTTCAACCAAATTTGGTATACAGCATCTATGGGTGGAGGGGAACAAAAATTTTGAATTTCATGGTCCCCGCCCCCCCCCCCCCCTGGGGCCTGAGGGGTGGGGGCAAAACCACTAAAATTAATGAAATCTTTAAAAATCTTCTTCTTTACTCCTGGACATCAAGCAGGCAAACTATTGGCATGAATATAATGAGCATTGAGTCCTCTACCAAAATTGTGAAATTCATGGCCCCAGGGTCAGGGGTTCTAGTGCTAGGGCGGGGCTCTATAGATTATATAGTGAAAATGCATTATTTCTTTGAAAATCTTCTTCTCTGCTCCTGGGTATTAAATACACTAACTAAGCACATAGTTATGATGAGCAAGAGTGCCTCTTCCAGATTTTTGAATTTCATGGCCCCAGGGTCAGGGGTTCTGGTGTTAGGGCGGGGCTCTATAGATTATATAGTGAAAATGCATTATTTCTTAGAAAATCTTCTTCTCTGCTCCTGGGTATTTAATAAACAAATTAAGCACATAGTTATGATGAGCAAGAGTGCCTCTTCCAGATTTGTGAATTTTATGGCCCCAGGGTCAGGGGTTCTGGTGTTAGGGCGGGGCTCTATAGATTATATAGTGAAAATGCATTATTTCTTTGAAAATCTTCTTCTCTGCTCCTGGGTATTAAATACACTAAATAAGCACATAGTTATGATGAGCAAGAGTGCCTCTTCCAAAATTGTGAATTTTATGGCCCCAGGGTCAGGGGTTCTGGTGTTAGAGCGGGGCTCTATACGAGGGTTGATCCAAAAGTTCATGGAATTTCTTCATATTTTATTTATTTTTCAGTGGAATTGGTTGAAAATTACAAACGAAAATATAGACAATTGATGAATATTTCAAATTGAAAAACATTTTTAATATCTTTGATAGTAACTTTGTGGTAGTTGCCATAGAAACGGTTGTTTGGAAATGCGGGGGAGACATTAACGCATTTATTATCATTTATATTCTTAATTCCTAAAATAAGAATTAAACCGCCCTATATGGTAAATAAAACAAAACCATGTCATTATTACGATTGCTTTATCTTTTATAAACCTTTGGGTGAGAGTTTTACTGATTTTAATGGACATTTAGTTGATAAGTTGATGGTATACTGTTCATTTTTAAGTTTTTAGATAGCGTCAAAATTCGGTCAAGTCACACGTTTTGAGAAAATCCCGGGATCACTCTATCTTAAACGCATATATTATTGACAAAGGCTTGGTAAAAATGCATTTAGTTACTGGTTTTCCAGTGGCATAAGAATTTTAAGAAAAATAGACCTTCCATGGACGTTGATAAAAGATGTGATCGCTTTTTAGAGGCTCTATTTAAGTAAGTATCCCCCTAGACAAATTAAAAATGTTAATTGACGTTGTCGGCTGTTGTACTGTTTTTGACTTTGCTACTGAAATTGGAACATCATATGGAAAGATGGGTAGATTTTTTTTAAATATGAGCAAAAAATGAAGATAGGTTGGTGCGAAAGGATACCCAGCCTTTTCTTGAGAGAAAAAATGGAGAAAAACGCATTATTTTGTAGAATTGCGTATTATAATTGGACATTTGGGTGTGATGCTTCTATAACGTGACCTGACATATCTAACTTGACGTTACGTCAAAGTCTCCCCCGGGTTACCCAACAATCCATTTTCAGAGAGCTCATGTGACCTTATTGGTAATTGGAAAGTGGTAAATTTTTCCAATATTGTTGTATTATTACTCTATTTTATGAATATGCCTGTTGATTGATTTCATCAAATCACGATTAAATTTTAGAAAGAAATTCCACGAACTTTTGGATCAACCCTCGTAGATTATATAGTGAAAATGCATTATTTCTTAGAAAATCTTCTTCTCTGCTCCTGGGTATTAGATTAACTAACTAAGCACATAGTTATGATGAGCAAGAGTGCCTCTTCCAAAATTGTGAATTTTATGGCCCCAGGGTCAGGGGTTCTGGTGTTAGGGCAGGGCTCTATAGATTATATAGTGAAAATGCATTATTTCTTTGAAAACCTTCTTCTCTGCTCCTGGGTATTAGATTAACTAACTAAGCACATAGTTATGATAAGCAAGAGTGCCTCTTCCAAAATTGTGAATTTTATGGCCCCAGGGTCAGGGGTTCTGGTGTTAAGTCGGGGCTCTATTGATTATATAGTAAAAATACATTTATTCTTTGTAAATATTTTTCTTTGCTTTTGGGTTTTAAGCCAATGATCCAAGTATATATATATTTATGATGAATAAAGGTGCATCTAGAAAAGTGGTTATTAATGCCCCCAGGGTCAAAGGGGGGGGGGGGGTTTACATAGCCTGAAAATAAATTAATCCTTTGAAATCTGCTCTTTGGTATTAATCAACCATTTTATGATAAAATTTGCAAAATTTTGAAATATATGGCCCTGGGTCAGTGGTTCCTTTGGGGTGAGGTGCACAACTGGTTATAAAGTGGAAGTGCATTTTCTCTTTGTTACTCTGATCTACCTCTGGGTATTAAGTAAATAGAGTAAGCATGCTAAGTTAATAATTATGATATGCAATGGTGCCTCTTTCAAAATTGTAAATTGTGAATTTCTTGGCCTCCGGTTTAAACACGAACCAAATTTAATTGTTTGAAAGTTGTTACACAATACTCAGGTGACCTATAAGGCCCGTGGGCCTCTTGTTTAAAGAAAGGATTTATATAGGAAACAATTTTGAAAGTTATAACAAAAGTGTATATTTTATGAAGTGAGATATTTTGTTTTATGATAATTTCATTTTGTCTATCAAAACTAGAACCTCTCATCTTTTTAAAAATCCTAGGCTTGTGTATGTACCACCATAAAATGATGTGTCTTAATCAATGATGGCATTGTATGTCAGAGACCTTTAAATCGACCTTGACAATATTTAGACGGCACTTTTATTAAAACTGACAATTGCATTTTCTCCAAAAAAGTTTATTTATGCATAAAGATGTCAAAGATGCAATTTGAATTTTTATTAAAACTGACAATTGCATTTTCTCCAAAAAAGTTTATTTATGCATAAAGATGTCAAAGATGCAATTTGAGCTACATAAATTCATAGCTGCCTTATCTAGATTACAATTTTAAGATATGAATTGTAATTACCATGGAAAGATATGTACCATTGATCAGTACCTTATATGACCTTGACCTTTGACTTAATTCAAAGAAAATACATTTCTTTAAATATTTAAAGTTTGATTTTATTTAATCATTTGTCTGGATTTTTTTCTGAAGAAAAATCTACAATGAAATAAAGGTCTTAGTGTGAATATTTTTTTCACAGCTGGATACTGGAATACAAATAAAAATGTCAAAGAATGTAAATGTGTGTCATTGTGTGTCGAGGCCTTCTACAAGTCAGGTCATCAGATGTTCATGCTTATGGAGATCACCCCCAGCTTGTTAAATGCCAGTGAGTTTCATTTTTCCTTATATTCTGATATGTTCTTGTTACGGGTATAGATTAAGACATGAAGAAGTAACTTGTGTTAAAATTCAATTTTCTCAAAATATTGCTCATGTAATTTGTGCATTATGAAATATGCCATTTTCATTTTGTAAAACTTGATATTGTCCTTAATACCACTTTGGACATCATTAAAAATCATAATAAGAAGTGTATTACAGTTAAGGTAATCTTTTTTACCTACTAATACTATAAGGTTTTCAATTACCTCTATTCAATGTCATTAACTTTTTACATTTTCGATTTCTTACCCAAAACTCTGGGCAAATTTTAACCAAACATGCTACAATGCATCCTTTTGTTGAAGGGAATTTCGTTTTGTCAAAATGATAGACAATACATGTACTTCCTTTCAACGGGTAACATTTCAGGAATCACCAGAAAAAGTTTAGGTTATTTTAAGAATTAATTGTACCCCCATCATTTTTCAATTTCCTTAGTGAATGAAGTTGATTTTGAAATGATTTATACAATCAAAAACAGATGACAAAAGATATTTTAATCAAAGTTTAGAGTAGTAGAATGAAAAACTAAACATGTTAGTATGATCTAGATTGCTATGACATTTTAAAATTCATTTTTTGTGTCTATTGAAGTTTCTTGTGAAGTTCTAGAAGATCAGGAATAATATATTCATGTGTAAATTGTGTGTGATATAGCTTGATGGTGCAGGGAAAATCAATTCAGATTGCTTAAAAAAAAAATTTAGAGTTGTCTTTCTTTTCTATTTTTTCTCCTGATGTATACGTGTACAAGAAACAAATTGTAAACTTTGATATTATATTGTACTGGCTATTTTTGCTAAACATATGGAATGTTTCCTTTTTTCCCCGTATGTCTAGAGGAGGGAAGGGGATTCAGTGTCCACACCATCCGTCCATTTTCTCATTACTGCACTGGCTCCCAGAGTCAAAACGAGAATATGCTGATAGTTCTGACGGCCGACTCTTTTATCCCCAAAGGTAAAATATTCAAAAAAGGGACATAGCAAAGAAGTTGTGTAATATAAAATTCATGTGAAAGTCTTTTTAAAACTTCAAGATTTGAATTACCAGAAATATTTCATCCAGATGAAATTGCTGCTTAATACTTTCTATGAAAAGATCATAGATGAAGCATATGATTTTAATTGGATTATCTATTTACAATTTTGATCTAATAATAACTAATGTTTGATTGTGAGGGAAAGTAATGCTAAACATGTGCAGAATTAATGAAAAATAGAGGTAAAAGGTCATGCAATTATGTTACAGACAAGTTTCAAAAATTTGCCCTCTTAAATAACCAATTTTCTTTAAAATCAGGGATAGAGATCAGATTTCAAGATGATGAAGGATGGTGTGTAAAAGCTGAGAAACCTACAATAATAAAAAATGTAAGGCTCTTCATTTCATTAGTTGAAGTATTTTATTTCAGGATTGAGGAATAAAAATTATTTGGAAAAGAGGCAAATAAAATAATCGTTGTAATGCCATTGATGACAGTCCGTCAGATTCTTTTGTACTTTATAGGTTTTGTTTGTAATTTTTTACTGTGAAATGTGATTACAAGTAGTGGATTTTTTTAACTTTATCTATCTAGGTACTAGAAGTGAAAATACCACCATACAGGAACATCAAACTAGAGGAGGCCAAGCAAGTGAGAGTGTTTGTGAGGTCTGATAGCAAGGTCAATCTGGAGGCCAATCCCATCACCTTCATGTACAAACCACATGGTACATAAAGCAAGATCATAATTCCCATCACATTCATATACAAACCACATGGTACATAAAGCAATATCATAAATCCCATCACCTTCATGTACAAACCACACGGTACATAATAAAGCAATATCAAATCAAAAACTGTCAACGTGTACGCTACTAACACTATGAAAATCAAGTTGGTTATTGTATGCAGACCAATTTTCTTTGGTTCCTTTTCCAAGGTTCATGATTTAGTTTATTTTGTTATATCCAACAAAAAGTTTCAAAATTATATCAAAGTCCAACTTTTCTGATTTGGATTTTTTTATTTGAATTTTCAGAAGGGACAGTGATAGAAACCAAAAAAAGAAAACTGCAAGATTACAGTAACATTCCCGACGACATTTTAATGGAAGCAAATGGTAACAAAAACTTATCTTTAAAATTTCTTGTTTTATGTAATTTTGCAAGACTTAGTGTTCTCATCTAGTGTACCATAGATTAAAGTGTGTGTATGTTAATCTTTACTCCAAGAACTAGATGTGCACTTGAGAAGTCAAAAATTTTATATAAAAAAAAGAAAATGTTATCAAACTAAGATTTTAGCAGTTGACAAAGAAGGATCATGAGTGCTAAGCTATATTTAAAAAGATCAGTTAATGTACAATCTGAAGGGAATTTTGTTACCGTTTGAACTATCCGTTGTTGCTGACAACTAGATGATGCAAGTCTAGTTTACTTTAAAACATTTGCCTTGGGAAATAAGTTTGCTTGAGAGGAACTGGAATCTTAATTGCTGACTCCATTAATGGTACATGTATTCACTGAGGGAATTAGCAAGATTCAAGATTTTAAGGCCATGACATTTTTATGAGGTAAAGCCTGCATTAAAAATTAGTCTAACTAGGGGAACTGAATCTTGTTAACTTCTTTTAATTTTTTTTATGATACAAATTTCGAAGTAGAAATTAACTCCCTTGACTAACACACAGTAAAATAGGAATTAGTCTATTCACAGCAATGGCTATGGAATATTATTCACATTTGGGAATCTAATTTTATACTAGATTAACTATAGTCTCTGTGAAACCTGTGATCTTCATTTCATAACACTTGCTAAAAGAGGAATACAGCGATAATGTAGGTAACTAGTAGACACTTCAGTATGATGCAAACATAAGAATGTCACTGCTTACTGAAAGTATCAAACATTAGAAATGTTAATTTTTTTTATTAACTTCCTGTTATAGTGAAGACTGTGTAACAGCAAGGTGAAGTCAGATTGACCAGGATTGAAAAAATTAAATCAAGTGATACTCAACCATTGAGTGCTCATTGATGTTTACATCCTTTTGTTGTAATTTAACAGGTGCAGATACAAAACTCAGAATTAAATCACAACTGGAACGTAGAAAAAAGATCAGTAAGTCTATTATTATAAACACATTTTCATTCTTGGAACAAGGAGATGATTATATACATTTGTATTTTTTATTTGTTATTTAGATCAAACTGATAACTTTTTTAGGTCACCTGAGTAACTCAGGTGTGTTAACATTTGAACATTTTCAGCTTCTTCTCTGAAACCACTGAACCAATTTCAACCAAATTTGGTATACAGCATCTATGGCTGAAGGGGAACAAAAATTGTGAATTTTATAAATACCCCGCCCCCCTTGGGTTTGAGAATATGCATAACCAGTAAAATTTTCGCAGTCTTTAAAAATCTTCTTCTTTACTCCTGGACATCAAGCAGTCAAACTGTTGGCATGAATGTAATGAGCATTGAGTCCTCTACCAAAATTGTGAAATTCATGGCCCCAGGGTCAAGGAGGTTAAATGGTAAACGCTGTTTCGGATAATTCTCATAGTCATATAGTGAAAATGCATTAATTCTTTGAAAATCTTCTTCTCTGCTTCTGGGTATTAAATAAACTAAGTACGTATTAACTTAAAAGTATAAAACAGATCACCAACACTTCATGAGAATGCAGCAGTAAATTTATTTTGTTGACCGGTTTCGACCTGTGATGGTCGTCATCAGAAAAATCAAGCATGTAAATTTATCTACGGAAGTAAAAAATGCGGATGACATTGCTATATACACAAAAAATGTGGATGACGTTGCTATATACAAAATAAAATGCGGAGTGGTTTGTACATCTGCGAACTTGCTTAAAAATGGTACTTTATACAAGATATAATCAATTTACGTTTCCTCATTTTTTTCAGTTTTTCTGAATTAAGATTTTTTCATTGTAAATAACATTATTTTTTATGATTAATAAAATCGTCCATAAATTGTGTGGATTGTTATTCTTCTGTTGCATCATCAAGCTGTTTCGGTAGACTGTGACGTCACAATGGAAAAAAAATAAATTGATTTATATAAGTGCGTAAAATTATGCAAGTGGACATTAGATTACATTTCCTATAAATGTTGGGATAACATAAAATGTAGTTTAGTTTCATAAATTTCTACTTCTGAATAGTCCTATTTTATGGAGGATAATAATTGTTCGTAAAAATTACATTAAAATAATTAACATGTATTAATATAAACAAAACTAATTTCTTTAGAATGTTCAAGAGTTCATTGTAGTTTTATGATGAAATTCGTTCAGACGAAATGTGAAGGTATAATTGACATGTTTTTATGTGCCATTATTTCACGTGTTTGGGGGGGGGGGTTATGCAATATATTATTCAATATTGAGCAAGTGAATGCTTTTGTTGATTCCTTATCGGTTCCTTCTGTCTTCTAAACATTACTGCAATTAATAGATTGTTTATATGTTCCATTTCATTGTGTTTTCTTATATTTTTAAGGAGAACTGGATTTTAAATAAAGATTGTGTGAAATCGTATTACTTCTCGAAATTACAAACAATATACAATGTATAACATACGCGCTGTTCATGGTAGCAAAAGTTTGAATTATTTGTGATATACAGATCATTATGCATAATGTGCACAATCGGCAATCCTGGGCTTTCTCCGCTACACTCCATTCAAACACAGGTATACGAGCCATCCAAGGAGTTCCAAGTGATGTGTGTATGTGGCATGGCTTTTACCCCCAAGAAATAATTAAGTCACAAATTAATGATGATTTTAGGATTTTATGAAAAAAAAGTCTAGTTAATTTTTTTTTAATCCTGTTTAATTTTTCATTCTTATAGTAAGGTTATGACAGGGTGGGTAAATCTTAAAATAAAAATGTCGAAATTTCTTTCGTTCCGGATTGAAAAGAAAATTAAAATCATATGCAGTGAACAGACAGGTATAGAAAGGAACTTCATTTGTGGGAAATGGATTTTTAAAGGTTATTTTACAGAGATAAAAAAGGAAGAGATATCAATCAATTATCTGGTTAATTGATTCTCGCTGTTAGTTTGGAGTATGCGAGTGGTGGCCATAATGTATCCAATTTTAATTAGATTGCTACAATATTATTAAGAGTTCACAAGCGTAAATTATACATATAAGCAGTGATTAAATACAATCGCAGTGTAAATTGAGATACACTGTAGGTCTACGTCAACACTAAGAAACGGGGTGCACAGCTTTCAAATATCAAATTTTCATGATCCTCTGCAAATGTCATCTATGATTGAGAAGGAATACGGAACTAATGAGGTTTGAAAAAAAAATCTACATATGTGCACCCTGCACTCTACTGATGATGTGAACTTCAAAACAATAATCCGGCACTTCATTACAATGTAATTAATCAAATGTATGAGCGATGTAATTTTTTAGAAGGGGGGATGTGCTGCTTGTATAGCGTTTTCAAAGTTATATAACTAAAAAAGAAAATTTTAGTAAATTAAATGTTTAAAAACAAAAATGGAGAAGCAAAATCGAAACGAAAAATAAAATAATTAATTTAAAAAAATTAAAAGAGAATAAAGAAAAAAATCGGAATGAATTTTTGAAAGGCTTCCCTTTCCGTAGTGATAAAAAACTCCAAAAAAAGGGGGGGGGGTGTTGGGTGAAGGGGGGGGGTATCAAACCATTTAATTACAATATTTATACATGTAGTCCAGAGATATATTGTTTTACCAGAAATGAAATTAGGCCTAGTAATCAGAAAATAAAACTAACGTACTGCTTGCATGAACGGTCGAAATTAACCAGGTGGTCGAAATAACACCACCCTATCCTACAATATTCTGCATGTCACACTTGTGACGTCACACACGTCACTTCCGGTAAAACAGCTAATTTCAGTGCGAACAAAGGTATTTTTAGTAATATCTCTATAAATCATCAAGAGAGATAGTAGCTGTGCTGTATATCATTTTACTCGTATTTATAATGACTATCGAACTATGTTAAAATGTAAAACCTACCAAGCCTTTCTTTGAAGTTTTAAAAAGCAAGGGCCAAGTCCCCTTACAAGGGGAGATAATCAAGAAAGGACAAAAATGGGTAGTGTCTTTAAAATATCTCAAGTTTAACATTGAAATATGTAAGAAAAATCTTCTCCCAAGAACAACTGGGCCAGAAAGACTGAAACTTTAAGTGGAAGCTTCCTTGGGTTGTGTAGATTCTTAATTCTCAAAAATATGACACCCAGGGGTAGGGTGGGGCCACATTTGGGAATCCAAGTTTAACATTGAATTATATAAGAGAAATCTTTTAAAATCTTCTTCTCAAGAACCACTGGGCAAGAAAAACTGAAACTAATATGGAAGTATCCTTGGGTAGTATAGATTCTTCATTCTCCAAATTATGACACCTGGGGTATTCCAAAAGGGAAATCTTGTAAAGAATAGCATGGCCAAAGTTACTCAGGTGAGCAATGTGGCCCATGGGCCTCTAGTTTTTTTGTTTTTTGTTTTGTTATTAAAATGAAAACTTGATAACTTTTTAAAAAATTAATTATGCTCTAGATTATCACAGTCTGTAATAGACTATATTATTACACTTACAAAATACAATAGAATATGTATATTTTAATACATGTCTCTGTAAAAAGAAAAACTGAACACCAAGTTAACAATTACAGGTAAGGCAAGTGCCACCATTACAGCACCACAGCCAAATGATAGTTCCTGTGCCCAGAACATTTTGCCCAGTGAACCAGTATTCAATCCATCACAAAATCTGGATCCCAATTTTGATTTCCTCCAGAATATGACATCTGCCACATCTACAACATCTGCCTCCATTCCTGCTGTGCTGACTCCCTCTAATGTTCCCTTCAATTCTCCTACACAGCCTGGTTATATGGATGCCAATACCAGTCAGAGTATGATGTATGGAAACCCCACCAATCTAGATTATCAATCAGCAGCCACATATCAGATGCCAGTTTCATCTCCTCAAGCAAAACCTCAGATTTCTGCCCCACAGATGAACATGTCAGTTCAGTCACCACAAAATCACTTGCCACTTCAGACCCCCTTGGGTCAATTTTCTGTGCCCTCACCACAAAACAATGCAGTTGGCTCTGTCACCTCACCCCAACCTCCCCAGTCTCCCATGGGTAACATAGGAAAGTTTAAGACTGTAGCCATTGCTGGAACAAATCAGTGGCTCCTTGTTGACCAGTTTGGGAAGCCTATTCTTGTCCTGGGTGGTCAGAATGATGAAGTGTCAGCAAATGTTGTTCAGGAGCTTCCCTCCATGGGGAACATGGGATACCTTAGCAGTCCACCCCAGTACGACATGTCTGCCTCCTATCAGTCTGTCAACCAATCTAGTGATGTACTTTCAATAAATCCACTCCCCACATCAACAGATAATGATCTGGAGGTGGATAATGCTGGTGAGAGTGCAGATACCTCTTCCTCTGTCAGTGCTTCTGGGTCACCTAAAAAAGGTAAACCACAAAACAAGTCAGGAACATCAAAGTCAAGCGAGGACTCCAAGGAGGAGGAGGAGGCCGTAGAGGAAGAAGACGTGGATGAGGCTACAATGAGTATGGAGAAGATGAGTCTTGAGCTTCCTTGACCTACATAGACAGGTGATACAGGTAAATTTCTGGTTGTCAAGGATTGGAAGGTGAATTCAATTTCTTGGAATTTATGTGCAGAACATTTCATTTATAAGGAGAATAAGTTATTCTTGTTTAAAAAGAAATTAGACATACAAACTTAATTTTTAGCCTTCTTTTCTTAATACATGTGTTGAGACTAAATTTCTTGTATACATGATTTAGAAAAGAAAAACAGTATTGATGAACAAGAGATGAGAGCCCAAGGTTTTCATTTTATGGAGCAAGTTGTTGCTCATGTTATCCATTTTTGCATCAGCATTGTTTTATTGGAGATTCAGAATTCAGTGACAATTTGATCCAGGATCCCCTATTTAGTGCTAGTGATGTTTTGAAACAAATGGTGAATGCTAATGCTTATCAGAAAATGAATATGTTTTTCATTTTTGTTCATATAAAGATGAATTAACTGTACTTTCATCAATAATTGATTGTTTTGAGGTGTAATATATAGTAGATATTATTTAATATTATATAACTTCGTGAAATCCGGTAATCTGATTGGTCAATACGAAGTACTTATTTTTTAATAGACCGCTTAATGACTCGCACGAGCTTCGTTTTCACTTTCGCTTTAGACAAACATGGAATTTCGTTGTAAGTGAGGAAAATTTAAAACATATAGTGAAGAACTCTGAGACTGATAAAACAAAACAATTACCAGGATATTCGTGAATATTTTTCGGGAATAATTAGCATTATATACCATTTCATGGTTTAATTCGACCTTTCCACTCAGCCAGCAGAGTTTTGACGCTGTTTGTAAACGCGATTACGGAGACTAAAGAAAATAGGCCTATAGACAAGCATACCATGTAAGATTGTATTTATTCTTAGAAGACATAGGTATTTATATTTTGTCAGTGCATTTCGTCTGAGACTGATAATACAAAACAATTACTAGGATATTCGTGAATATTTTTCGGGAATAATTAGCACATACCATTTCATGGTTGAATTCGATCTTTCCATGGCCAGCAGAGTTTTGACGCTTTTGTATTGGAGAATAATGAATTAGACAAGCATACCATGTAAGATTGTATTTATTTTAAAAGACATAGGTATTTATATTTTGTCAGTGCATTTCATTAAGTGTAAATGAGAGGGATTCTTTGTGGGGGATGTGTTATGGAGACAGATATCTTGCGTCATTTTTATGATATGGGGCATTTATTGCCAAAACAATTTCCTCTGAGTAATATTCAATGAATTCTGAAACATTTACATTCAACTTATTTATGGTTAATACTATCTCTGTAAATAATAGGATTATACATTGCACTAATAAATTTGGGAAATTATTATTTATATAATATAATAAATATGGACTCAATTATCGTCTATGCATTTATAATGACCCAGAATACAATTTGACCTCAGATACAAATTTGGGCTAGCGCCCTACTCGATATTTGTATCTTCGGTCAATATCTGTCATCCTGGGTCATTATAAATGCATATTGACCTATATTGAGTCCATATTTGTATAATATACTACATGTATGATTTCAATATCATTGAAATGTAAGAGATTTTAGGCTTTTTGCCAGAAAATTTTTAAATATTGTTGTTTATATTTGATGAAGTTTTCATGTTACATCTTTGTTTTTATCAGAAAAAACTACTAGTGATCATTCACTCATACACTGCTTGTTGTTTCTTTTGTATTCATTTCAACTAGCATATGCTCTTATTTATGATGTTGTTGTCAGTAATTGAATTTGAAGTTAAGAAAGAAATCATAATATTCCCGATGCTTAACAAGTATACAGATTTGCATGCCATATGGCTACAGCTTTTCATTGTTGTTGAATGCATTTTACATGCAAGTTATCATATTTTTAAAAAAGTTGAACTATTTCATTAAATGTGTTGGTATGCTTTGTGCATGATGATAATGTGAAGACAGGATACTAACATTAAAACATTTATCTTTGTTTTTAGCTTACCTGAACTGAAGGCTCAGTGCGCTTTTCTGATCAAACTTTGACTGTTGTTTTTGGTCATTGTGGTTGGTGTCATTCATTTTTCACATTTTTTATCGTCTTTTGCAGAACCAAAGGTACAATTTAGGCTAAATTTGGCACTAGTTCTTGGATGAATTTGATGCAAAATTGTTCATATAAAGGACCAGGCTCTTTCTAAAGGAGATGATTAGGGAAAAACTTAAAATTGGATGGGCTCATTAAAAATCACAAGAATCATTCAGCCAGAAAAGATATGATATGTGAAGCTTCTTGACAAAGTATAAAATCAGGATTGTTCAAATGTTGATCCCTGTGAGATGGAGCCACTATGGTCTATTGAAGTTTAACATGAGGGCAATTAAAGTATTACATAAGACAGCAAAACCATGATCTGTAAATTTGTAAGCATGCACAGGTAGTGTCTTTTCAAGCTTGTTCAATTCAGGACCCTCAGGGCTAGGTTGGAGCCACGTGTGGGCAATCCAAGTTTTGCAAAGGAATATACGGAAATAATCTTGATGAATGACCTCAGTTACTCAGGTGAGCATAGAGAGCCATGGGCCTCTTGTTTTATCTGATTTAGTGTATGCTATATAACAGTCATTCTCAACCTGTTTCTAAAATAATTTTTTAATTGATACATGTATCTTGCACCTGAAAATTTTACTTCTTGTGATAAAAAATAATTCACTGTTCTTGTTAAATTGCTGATTTCTGCCAATTTCCATCTTCTTTTATTTTATATCATTTTTTGTTGACTCATTTTTCATATTTTCATAATAAAATTGATGAATATTTTTTCTGTGAAATATTTTGTTCGTTTGGATATCAAATTTGCTACAGTAGCCATCCTTTAGTGATTTTTGTGTAATATATTAAGAGAACCAATTTTATATAGGGGGATCAACAACTAGACATTAACTGCTATGTAGCACAGGCTGACCAATGGATGGTGCCTCCTCCTTTCTTTGAATCTGTTTTATCAGACACGATAATTTATCCATAATACATTAATTCTTACTTATATATATCATGCCTTTATTTCTATTTCTGATATCATTTTCTGTGTAAGTTACCAGTAAGTTATAGAGATCGTCCTTTAATGGATATACATACAAGTATAAAAATGCTTTTAAAAGATAGAACACAAATAGGGATGTTCTGCTTCGAGGGAGATTTTCGACATGTAACAGTAGTTTTACCAATGGGCAGACATTATGTATGAAATTATGTCCTCCAAGTGGCTACTGTTTTATTTGTCATTACCCACTGAAAAACAATCTCTGAAACTGAACGAAAATGGAAACTGATATCAGAATTCAAATGTAGGTACGATAGCACAGACACTTGTTTCGTATACCTGGCATCCTTACTTATTTTTACCACAAAGTAGGGGCACCCCGTATACGAAACAAGTGCCTGAAAATGTGTTTTGCATAAATTATCGTGTCTAATAAAAATTCTTAGAGGGTGAACATGAAGAGGGGAACAACATCCATTCATTAGGCAGGTGCCTGTGTTGCATCGTCATTCAATATGTTTTATGTTTTCAATAATTAAAGATTTAACTACAAGTTTGATTTATATCGTTATAAGCAGTAAATATACCCGTATTTTAAGTACTTATTTTGTGTGATTGCTCTGTAAATATATTTTAATCGCTGTTAATTTTGGATAAACCTGGTCAACATTTGAAGAAAAAAAAATACGCCGATTGAGAACATGGAAAAATGCAAAATGATTGTACATGTGTTTGCATTGTTCTATCCCTAATTTTTTATTAACTTGCACTTTGTCACTGAAGTTAATTAAATGTCCATGTTATGTATTTTTAAGTATGGTCTGGTAATTAATATATACATTTTTTAAAAATCTGAACGAATCGGCATTAAGAAAGTTAATTTTGAGCAATTGATCCTATTCCAAATAGGTACATACATGTATATGCATTGTGCGAACAGAATTCGATTTCTTGAACTTTGTGAAATTTACATTTTGATCTATAAACGCCGTCGATTAAAACCCCTCCAACTGACAAATCAACAAATCAGTTTTGTGGCCTAGTTGATATATGGATCAAAAGTGGGATGGTACCTTCTGTTGGAGCTTTAGGTAAACACACAATGGATATAATGAAAACCTGGCCGATAAGAACTTTGATTTTCATGTTACTTCTTTGTACAAATAAGATAAGGATGACTTCAAGGTACACGTGTTAAAGCCTTTGAAACTTTAAATTTGCGACAATATTGGAGTAAACATTCTCTGACTTTCATGTTCGTCCACAAAACTTTTTTTGAACTAGACGAAATAAAAAAGAAATCCAATGCATTATTCGCAAATGTTTTGTTTCGTGCATGCTCATACGTTTTGCAATGAAACATCTGTTCATGTAAAAATATTTTAGCATGACTTAGCATAAATAAAAGAAGTAAATATGATAAGACGAACTTTTTGTGAAGGATTATATTGAAAGATATATGTGAAATTTAAGCGTAGACTTGATTAGCTTGAATCATTAATACCAACCAATATTGAAGTGTCTGGTATCCATTTTACACAAGACCAGTTATTTTATTTTGACACTAATCGTTTCAAGTTTTATATTCTGAGTTGATCTGTAGATCCACCTAGAATAAAATATCAAAACAAACTGTAAATGAGCCATCATATGGTTTATTTGGATTAAATGTTCGATCATGCTTCAGCTTAATTGCTTCGAAGTGGTCCTATTCATGGTCGATATTGAAAGGTGTAATACCATCATTCGTACTTAAAAAATAGAGAAAAATACTCAAACAATGAAACACCTTACAATGATATTGAAATATTGTGATATTCTGCCAAAACACACACAAGTGTCAACTCATAAAGATGGCAATCCCACTTTTACTTACATTTAATTTCAATTTCATTGCAATGTTATATTTTGAGACGCTTAATAAACGATTTGATACAAGAATTTTTAGTATTGAACAATATTAATCCCCCCTCTTTTCTAAGAGAAATTTATTTTTATTTTGAATATTCATTGAACTTTGTCTAGATACATTTTGCAATGTACCTAAGTCATGAATTTCTGTGAAAAAGGTTTTAATGAATGCAATTTTTATATTATTATATAATTTATTTCCTTATTTTAAACACAAAGAATTGGCATATTTCTGTTATTGATTCCCTCACATCTGCATATTCGTTAAGGCTGTTTGAGATTACTTCTCATCAATTATGAACTTATAATTCATGAAGGTGGAGACTGTCTTTGAAAGGAATCTAAAAGAGATATCACATGACATCCAACGTTAAAATTTCATTTATAAAATTGAATTGGTTGCAATTTTATTTATTCTGCTTGTAATTAAATTATTGATGATACATATTTTTTTCAAAATTAAAATTTGATTTCTACATGTCATTCTGGAAATTAAAATTTCACGCATTTTGAATAGCTATTCCCAAGGAATCAATAATACTAGATGACTCTTGAAGATTACAGTTGTTGTACCCAGAAAATGTGTGACGATTGGAAAGAGACACTCCTCTCACACCCTGCTCCCAGGCTTACAAACTGTTAATAAATGACCAAAAAGTAAAATCAACAGATAAATCACAAGTACCCTCTCAAGCACCCGTAGATAAGAAGTTTGGCAAGCACTCAGGACGACTCGATACTGACACACTGATTCCTCAGATCTATACAGCTCCAGTAATATACGATGATAATTAATATCTGTTCCAATCAATTCCAATATCTCACTGAAGAGCTCCGTGTATTTAAAAAATAGGTTTTTTTCCTCTTCATGGTTGACGGATCTGTACGGAGGAATGATAATAGACTTAATTGTTTGGGACGATCGGGTAGATTGCTGACTGGCTTACACTTTTTTTGATCTGAAAAGTGACACTCCCTTTAACTGTGCGTAATTGATACATATCGGTGGGATCCCTATGTGGTTTGACCCCCTGTGTCACTTTTTTGACAGTTATTGTGCCACTATGAAGAAACATTTGGAAATGCATAGAAAGAGAGAGAGGAATATGAAAGGAAACTATTACATGTAGGATTCTATTAACGTTTTTATTTAGCTACATGTAGAAATAAAGACGAAACGGAATGCTATTAAAGTGAGGTAAGTTTTAAAGTTTTATGATATTTCATTTTTTCTTATTCAATTAGTCTTTGAATTGTTCTTTGTGACTTGTTTAATGCATATGTAGTCTGGAGATGTTAAACGATAGACAGATCTATAGTTAATATTGAGATAAAAATCAAATTGGCAATGTACCTATCAAAAATTAAGACTGCCCTATCATTTATCAATTAAATTTTCACGATTTAATAGATAATCGACCCCATATTGCGTACGTAGACAAAGTTAAGGACACTCTTTAAGCCTAAGAACAAGTCTATTGTCCTAGGTGTAGACTGGATGGATAATTTCAAATATCAGGTTTCATCATTGTGTTTATGAATATACGCCATATTTGAGTTTATAGTTTTCCTACATTACTTGCGCTTGTATATATGTATAAATATCATTTTTAGATTTTTATCCATGATAGTAGCAGAAAACAACAATATCAATTTATGTGGAATACGAAAGGATACTTCCCGAGTTCGAGGTAGGAGTTTTGATTCAAATTTAGAACTCTTCGTTGTTTTTCAATTATAAGCATTTTATTAATTTTAATAAAAGAACTTGATAAAAAATCATCAATAATCCTCTTTATCTAAATATTGTATTATCTAGTAAGATTGATCAATTCTATAATTCTAATTTTATTGTCCTTAAGTCCTTTATTCAATTTTTTTTTATGTCAATTGAATATTTTACAAACTGTCTTGAAATACAGAATTACTTAAACCCCAAACCAATAATATCGTAAATATACTCATGCACAAACTCAGAAAAAACTCGACCAAAGATCTTTAAAAACAAGATATGAAAAAAAAAAACGAGAAAGAAAAGATTAATACAAAGTCCGTTGACGAGAGAGGCTCCATTATTGATAGTTCATTGTTTGACGGGGCAATTCTAGACGTATTAGCTTCCACGTTTTCAGGGTCTCAAGTTAATGAGGTAATTAGAATTCTGGACTATGACTTAAAAATTCAATTTTAAAGTTTCTAATATTAGACTTAATTATAAGAGGTATTTAAAATTCTCCCTTTTTTTTTCCTTACCAGAATTGCTAGAAAATAGAAAAAAAGCCGAATGGAATTTAATCAAAATTTATTTGTTATTGTTTTCTGTACTTCATTCCCTGGGAATTTTTCTTGTAAGATACTTTTATAATACTGTCTTCGTGTGTTTGATTTAAATGCAGATTTTTAGACAATATGTACCTGATGAATTATGCATATGAGGTAGTTAGGAAATCAATGTTGATTGGTAGTGCGTATACTCTGCCTGAGTTAAGCTTTATAACAATATTTGGAAAGAGATTTTTTGATCGAAGAAATTCCTTCTCCAATTTTACACACTTTTAATTACACATTGATTTCATCTAATTGTAGACGAATGGGGAATATAGAAAACGAAAGGGGCGAAATTACTCCGAGAATGACTGTATTTCTAATGTTTGAGTCCAAGTAAGGCCAATAATCATAACAATAAAACATTTTTATTGCATCTTTTTTTATGTTAAAGAGTTAGGTTTCGAAGAAACTTTGATTTGTTAGCAATTGGTTTTGCATACTTGGGCCCAAAAATAACAAAGATTGGCCACAATCGATGGAACGTTGATGTAACATGACAATAAGTGGTTCAACACAAAAAATGATTTAAAAAAAATCACCTTTCCCCTGTAGAAAAACAAGTGAAAGCTATTAGAAATCAATTTCATTTTTCAATTTTAGGGAGCATACAAATTGATTATCTCACAACTATAGCTCTGTAAACAAATTGACACTTTACCTTGGCTTCTTGTTCCATGGTTATGGACATTTTGGAATATTTTTTTTATATCATTGACAGCTGCTTTTTCAATAAAAATGGAACTCTTAAATTTACTAACCTTGTCATTGGTCATTTGCAAAATTATTTAATTGTGACAAAATATTCTTATTGTACACACAAATACTCTGAAGTTTACATGAAAAAGATACTTGAGTTTCTGATAGCCAATATCTATGTGGTTTTTGGAGACCAGGTCATATTTAGATATTTTATTTGAAAAAGACATAAATGTTAATCTAACAAACAAGCGTTTATGAGAAACGTGATAACATTAAGTTTACAATCGTCAATTTTCCTTATTAATATAGTAATATACCTTCATCACCTGCATACGGAGTTTATTTCTTTCAATTGATTCGATACGCGAGAGCATGTTCAATTTCTAAAACGAGGTAAGCCTCTGACAAACAAGTTGCTGAAACAAGAATATCAGCAGTCTCGTTAAAGTCATCGTTCGTAATTTTTTTGGACGATACCTTGTCAGCAAATACAATATCATTAAGTCGTATGCTGACTGACGTTATTCATATTACTTGTTAGGCCATTATATACAGACTGAATTGTCGTCGGATTTCCCGACCATGACAGGGAGCACACGGCAGGTATTACAGATCGGCAGGGGATTTCACTCCTCCATGGTACCTGATCCCACTTCTGAAGCTGTTTCTGTGGTCCATGTTTGTTCTGCTCCAATTTTGTATTGTTTTATGGACTTACGAGTTTCAGTACTATTCGTAATCTCCATATATTTCATTTTTTTTTTATACATCGATATTTACTTCTCAGCGTTTGGCTTTCGTTTTTATTTCGGATTGCTAGGCCCATAAAGTTTTACTATCTATTATTTTGAATCATCATACACAAGAAATATTTTTTCCTGAAACAAGAAACATTTTTTAAAAGTGAAATGTAAGAGTTTCTACCATCCAGCAGAAAAATTACGTCATTTTTCTACTGGGTGGTAGTAACCCTAAAAATATTATATTCAAAAATGTTGTGTTAAAGGAAAAAAAAATCTGACATCAGCAATCACTGGACAGTTTCCACAGCTATTACTCTGTGGACTTTTAGAGTAAGGACGTATTTAAAATCGTATTAATCTCTCTCTCTCTCTTTCTCCTACAGTTTGGTCTGATTTCAATACAACTTGGCACACAAGTAGACTACAGAAAGATACATAATTCTGTGTATCGGTTTTTGAATTCGATAAGCAGTGTTGCCATTCTTATTGAAAATAGAATTTTCTGTGAAATACTTTCAAAATGCGACTCCCCGACAGTTTTGGTGTAATTTCAATATGACTTGGCACAGAAGTAGACTACGCTAAGGTACATAATTCTGTGTATCCGTTTTTTTAATTTCAATGAACGTTGCCAAGGTCACTAAAAATAGAAATTTCTATGAAATACTTTCAAAATGCTACTCCTCCTACAGTTTTGATCCGATTTCAATGTCTTGGCACACAAGTAGACTAAACTAGGATATATAAATTTGATTATCGTTTTTTTCTATTTTGATGAATGGTGTTGCCGTGGCTACTACAAATACTTTCAAAATGCTACTTTTCTCTTCCTTTGTTATAAGTACAAACCAGTAGAGGTACAGTCTCGACAGAGACTTCTGGTTACTTTACTCGTCCTCTGGTTGTGTTGATTCAAGTTTATTTTAAATCATGACCCTCAGGGGTAGGGTGGGGCCACAATGAAATATCGAATTTTTACATAGGAATATATTTTAAAAAGCTTTAACTTTTAAGAATCCTCTTTTAAAGAACAGATAAGCCTTGGTTGGTTATTATTTACATGAGGCATCCTTGGGTAGTGTATATTCAAGTTTTGTTCAAGTCATGATCCCAAGGATAGAATGGGGTTACTTTGGCAAAGCCATGATAGGTTGTTTTCGTAGGTTCAAGTCTGCTCACATCATGGTCTTGGAAGCATCATTATTACTAAATTTAAATTTAAGGTGTTTAAAGACATCCATCCCCTTTTAAGAGTTTTTTTCTTTTTTATTCCTAGCCATAGTGATCAGTGAGCAATATGGTCCCTGAAGCTATTTTTAAAATTATGAAATCATATGTTTAATTGTTTTCTCAAATCGCATTGTATATAAATATGTTGACACATTTTAGTTAATTAGACAAGCAAATGCATATTTTCCTACCCCAAAATTATCAGTTGAAATTACTAAAAGCCAAAAAAAAACCTGTTATTTTATCTAGCAGTTTCTAAGGATTTAATTCAATTCAGATTCATTTTTTAAAAAATTAAACTGATGAATTAATCAGCTTAGGGAAAAAACCTCACATGAAGCTTACTTGCTCTTGCCCTATAGACAATAATCCCCAATGAGCACTTCTCTTTAATGGTGCAGCTTAATTTTCCAAACAATTATTTTAAATGATACCCTTCGATACAATACAATTTATGTGTACTTTAAATATTTGAATTGTCCGTCTTTCATTTTCTTTCTTTCTATTAGCGGGAAATGAAAAACTATTGACAAAACTGTTTAATATGAACTACTGTCGTTAAACAAACACAAATACCAACCCCTCTGCCAATACCACTACCTCTTGAAATTGTATCTATTGAGTTTAATCAGGTTATAAAATGGACCGTAAAATATTGATCGCCAAACTTGTTTGTTCATTTTATTATCAAGTTTTCTTCAAACGGTAGATATACAGGACAATATCCATATAGGTTTAGGATTTAGCAGGAACAAAGTGAGATGTAAATTCATGTTTGCACTTCTCATTTAGCCTCTATTGGGAAACCCACCTTAACAGTACACGTTCTTCAGTTCTTAGCACTGCCTCCATCACTCTTAAAAAAGTTTTACTTAGTAGTCATTTTTTACTTGAAATAACAAAGATAAGTAAAAGATAATTACTAAGCATTTACTTAAAATTTTAAATCAATTACTAAAATATGTGTCAATTACTAAATTCAAATGTTTTACTTGATTTTTGTATTTTAAAGAATTGTTTTACTTAAACACTAAAACATTTTACCTAGTAATTTATATTTACTTAAATTTGTGTATATAAGTAATAACATTACTTGGCCTTTACTTAGATTTTACCACTATTTACTATATAACTAATATTTTTTTTGCCCCCGTAAACGAAGTTTCGGGGGTATATAGTTTTTGTCGTGTCCGTCTGTCTGTCTCTCTGTCTGTCTGTCTGTCTCTCTGTTTGTCCGCAAAAAATTTAACCTTGCCCATAACTTTTGATTTAGCGGAGATATGACTTGTATATTTCACACGTCCATTCCTTTTGACAAGACCTTTCTTTGAGTATCGCCAAATTTGAACTTTTGACCTTGACCTTGGAATTCGACCCACTTTTACAAATTCCAACCTTTTTCTTTAGCCATATCTTTTAAATAGTAAATACCAGGACATTAATACTTCACATATATATTTTTTGTTGAAAGGCCTTTCATTGGATACCAACAACCATGACCATTTGACTTTGACCTTGGAGATTTCATCCTTGTGAAAAAAACTTTAACCTTGGCCATTACTTTTGAACGATAAGGGATAGGGCTTTCATACTTACATATATGTAACTCCTGTGAAAAGACCAGTCATTGGATACCAAGAACGTTGACCCTTTGACATTGACCTTGGAGTCTGACCCACTTTTAAAAAGCA